TTCTTCACTAAGATTTGTCTACCTAGATAGGCTGGCCTACTTTTCTTTCTTTCTTTGATTTATGTATTTCATTTGTTGTAACCTGGTTCTCAAAACTAATTAAGGATAAGGGCTGTCCCGAAAGTGGGGCTTCTCTTTAAACTGTCTCTTGTAAATTAGCGTCTCTTCTTTTACACCCCCTGTAGCCTAGGGCACCCCCCTAGCGTCATTTGCCCATATTGAGACTCTTCTAGGACCTAGCCCACGCGAGCTAGACTCCGCTTGACGTTAAATAGCAATAAATAAAATAAATAAATAGTATAGTTAGAACTCGAACTACTATTCTAATCCTATACGCATGTAGATTAAAGAGATAAAGAGACCCCCCCCCTACAAGGACACTAAAAGAGACACCTCCCTAGCTAGATATACCGAAAGACACCCCCCCCCTTATTTGGCTTCTACTGTAGTGCAAATGCCAAGGAAAACTTGGGAGGACGAGGCAGGCGGAGCAAATAGCTGTGAATGTCACAGGCAAGATACCTGGTCTTTACTCTGTACACACTACATAAAAAGTTGTTATACCAAATATCTAGCACAAGTAAAATAATTGTCTTAGGATACCTAGGCTAATATGCAGCAAGAGATAACAGTTAGTTTAAGCTCTTCATAGCTGTTTTAGTTGTGCGAGGCTCCTAGGATATATAATATTATTCTAAAAGAGGTGTGTACAGAGCAATGACCACTTCTCTTATAATTCACTCTGTACCATCTGCTCCGAGCATGATTAAATTCTCCAGCTCCCTCTGAGGTAGTGATCTACCACTCTTCCCCTCTACACCAACGAACTTCTGCAGTCTTGCTGATACCAACGGTTCTGCGGATATCGATACAATGCTTCTACAGAAACTTCCAACAGAACTAGTCAGACGCATCGTCGAGGAATTCGATCCTTGGTATCCTTTGGGCAGATACGCATCGATTAAAGCATTGTTGAATCTTGCGTTGACGTGCCGTACGCTCTATCATTTGTCAAAACCAAGACTATTCTGCAGTATACGAATCGTCTTTCCATCAAACTCCTTCCAACTCCTAAAGAGGACCTTGGAGGAGCAATCGTCCTATGGATTGGTCCGAAAGTGCGAGATTGACATGGACTGGCTGACCGAAACCCGCCACGATCTAACGCCCATCCGAGACCTTGTAAAACAATTCAACAACCTGGATAGTCTCATATCAATAGGCTCAACCCCTCGACAAATTCTTTCCACCACAAACACAAGAATTCTATCTTGTCTTTTCCTATATTCTCAGTTTCAAGCTGTCACAAGTTTGGAGATAAGAGAACTTATGTCACAACCTTTGCTTCGATCCCTCATTCTCGATCCGTACCATTTCGAATACGCTGCGCCGCGTTCTCAAGACTCGCCAATCGTTGTTAACAACACACTTACCTGCCTGGATCTCGGGTGTTACGGTGTCCCCTTAACAACAATGAGAGAAACACTTTCGAATTTCTCTGCCCTATCTGAGTTGACCATACCCGTACCTTCCGAAAATTCCATGCCATGGCGTGAACAACCCCGTCCTCTTTCACCGGTGGGGATTTCACCCCTAGTTTCATTGGTGACTCCAACACTCACATATTTATCGATCACGACTAGCGAGCAGCGTTGGATGCGACATGATGGGACCAAACTCAATCTCAGCAAAATGAGTGCGCTTAAAATTGTCCATGCAAGTTCACTACTATTCTTTCCTCCAAAAAGTACCTCAGTTTCGCCACAAGGCTTCTATCGGCTTATGCCAAAGTCAATAACATATATACGGGTATGCGATCTTCTTCAAGACGATACATGTTGCTTTGCTAACAACAACAATAAAGCTTATTTTTAACCCTATGCAGACTAAAGTTGTATTTGAGCCACTACAGCAGAGTAGCGATGGAGAAAATACTGAGTCCGAAAACACCGTTCAGTCCACATGGATTACGGAGATTATTGAGCACAAGTCTGAAAGCTTCCCGTCTTTAGGGTCCGTCCGATTCCATAGCCCCACGCCTGTAAGTCAATATTCAGAAAACCCACCCCATTTGCAGGCACTCATTCCAAAGTTTCAGACTGAAGGAATAAAATTGAAAATAGACCTCTGGAACGAGGAAGAGGCAGCAGCAATAGCACCTGAGGCAGCGTCAAGAGTTTTAGAGCCATGGTTCAACGGCAGGATACCCGAAACAGATTAGCAAGACTGTCTCTGGGATTCTGGTCAGGAAGATACCAGTGGCAAACCTTGTGCAAGGAACAGCATCGAATGTGGATGGATATCTGGTTATGGGGGTCGACGTTATAGATCGGCAGGCCCGTCTGTACAGTACCTTATCCTATTGATGGATTTTCCTGCTAGGCAAGTGGGCTGAATACCAAAAGACATCAAGATGTAGCTTACACTAGCGCAAATCAAGGTTTACTGAACTTCCTTGTCGATAACAACTCCCCTCAGTAAAGAGATACAATTGATGATATGTGAGATACCGAGTCATTATTCAGTAAACACTACATAAAACGTTATTATACTCAACTTTTAGTATAACTAAATTAATTATCTTAGGATACCTAGGCGAAGAAGAAGTAAGAATTCGCACTTAGTCTTAAATCTCTATATAACTATTTTAAATGTACGAGGCTTTTAGGATAATACTATTTTAAGGGAGGTGTGTGCAGAGTAGTTACCACGTCTCTTAACTGAACCACCCAGGCTTGATGTGATCAAGGCAGGCAGTAGCCAAATATCACATCACTCTTTCACTCTGTCAAATACATCGAGGGAATACGCCCAAAAGAAGACTCAATTGTATTAAACCAGAATACAATATTGCCCTAACGCCTCATTACTATGTAACCAGAATTACTATCCAAGTTCCCGCTTTCTTAGTTTTGCTTCATCTTCATAATATGTGCTTGCCCACAAGCATTTCGTCCTCGCCCAAATCAAGTACTCTTTGGAAAAGGCCACGTCCACTTCCTAATAAACTCAGGATCAATACCATCCTCATAAGCCTTCGCCTTGGCATCAATCTGCAAGTTCATCAACTTCTCTCTCACACCACTTCCCTTATTTCCCAAACTCGTAACACGATCAATAGCATCCATAGCAAGCGAGTACCGATCCGTCTGATTCCGAATAGCCAATTCAAGAGGTGTATCAATATTCCCCTTCTCCTTGTATCCTCGAACATGGATGTTGATTTGTCCCGGTCTCTTGTAGGTCAATCTGTGGATGAGCCATGGGTAAGAGTGGAAGTTGAAGATGATAGGCTTGTTGTCCGTGAAGACGGAAATCCATTCTCGATCTGTCATCCCGTGTGAGTGATCGGCGTGGTCGATGAGCTTGAAGAGATCTACGACGTTGACAAAGCGGATTTTGAGGTCGGGAATGAGGTCTCGGAGTAGTGCGGTGGCAGCGAGGGATTCGTGAGTTGGTACATCGCCACAGGAGGCCATTACTACATGTGGTTCTTGGCCTTGATCGTTGCTTGCCCAGTCCCAGATTCCCACTCCTTTTGTGCAGTGCTCGAGGGCTGCGTCCATGGAGAGATATTGAAGATGGTCTTGTTTGTCGGCTACGATGACATTGACGTAGTTGGTGCTACGGAGACAGTGATCTGTTACCGAGAGAAGACAGTTTCCATCGGGCGGTAAGTAAATTCTGACAACCTCGGGGCTCTTGTTGGCCACCACATCAAGGAAGCCGGGATCTTGATGAGTGAAACCATTGTGATCTTGTCTCCAAACAGTGGCAGTAAGGAGGATGTTGAGAGATGCGATTTTGACACGCCACTCGACTTCATTACACTTCTCGATCCATTTGCAATGCTGGTTGACCATGGAATCGATGATGTGAATGAACGGTTCGTAGCTGTTGATTAAACCATGCCTTCCGGATAGGATGTAACCTTCCAGCCATCCCTCACAGGTATGTTCACTGAGCATCTCCATCACTCGGCCTTCAAGTGCCAAGTTTCCTCCATCCGCATCTTCTTCGAAGTACTCTCCCATCCATACCTTTTTGCCTGCATTGTAGATCTCACCAAGCTTGTTCGATTCTGTCTCGTCAGGACCAAAAACCCGAAAGTTTGTCATGTTCTTGGCGACGATATCTCTCAAGAACTGAGCCATGTTGCTCATGCTTGGTAGACTAGAAATTCCAGGCTCAATATCTGGGAGTGCATAATCCTTAAAGTTGGGCATATGAAGGGGCTTGCGAAGTTGACCACCATTACCGACGGGATTTGCGCTCATACGGGCATTGCCGGTTGGAGCAAGTTCTTTGAGTTCGGGAATGAGCTTCCCTTCCTTGTCAAAGACTTCTTCTGGCTTGTAGCTACGCATCCATGTCTCCAATATTTTCAAATGCTCAGGTTTGGAAGCAACGGCAGGAATTGGAACTTGGTGTGAGCGCCAGAAGCCTTCTAGGAGTTTGTCGTCAATCTTTCTTGGTGCACTCCAACCTTTGGGACTTCTTAGGACTATCATTGGCCAGCGTGGACGGAATGCCTTTTGAGAATCTCGAGCTTGCTTTTGGTATCCTCGGATCTTCAAAACGCATGCTTCGAGAGTGGCAGCCATTCTAAGTGTTATCAGTAGGGTGTTGGGGTACGAGTTTATACAAGTGAGCTTACGCTTGATGCATGCTCTCCATGTCACTACCTTCAACAAAATAAGGCTCCCATCCATAACCAACAAAGAGTGCTTCCAGCTCCTTGTGGCTGATTCTGGCGAGGATTGTTGGATTATTGATCTTGTAACCATTGAGATGTAAAACTGGGAGAACAGCTCCATCAGTAATGGGGTTGAGGAACTTGGTGCTGTGCCAACTAGTCGCAAGAGGACCAGTTTCGGCTTCACCATCTCCAACCATTGTAAGAGTGATCAGATTTGGGTGGTCAAAAACGGATCCAAAAGCATGTGAAATCGAATATCCTAGTTCACCTGGAAATTTGCGTTAGTAAACGAAAGAGACAACCATGGTGGCAACTGCAAACGCTATTAAAGCGAAATGGGAATGATGAATCAATTGGTCTTCTCACCTCCTTCATGAATACTTCCTGGAGTTTCGGGTGTTGCATGACTTCCAATACCGCCAGGAAATGAGAATTGCTTGAAGAATGCCTGCATTCCAGTCTCATCTTCTGACATATCGGGGTAGACTTCCGAATAAACGCCCTCCAAATAAGATTGAGAGAGAACTGCTGGAGCTCCGTGTCCGGGGCCGGATACAAAAATTGCATCGAGGTCGTACTTTTTGATTAAGCGATTGAAATGCATCCATGTGAAAGCCTGGCCAGCATCAGAGCCCCAATGACCTAATATACGGGCTTTGATGTGTTCTTTCGTGAGAGGCTCCTTGAGTAAAGGGTTTTCTCGAAGATAGATCATACCTAGACACAGGTACATGCTGGCTCGGAAGTATGCATCGATTTTTCGGATATCTTCTGGGCTCAATGGCTTTTCAGTCGCTGTTGAGCGAGCCACGCCGTAAGGCGAGATGCTCTCAATTTTGACGTCTTCTTCGGTAAAAACCATGTTGCGTAGTGATTTGAAGCTATTGAAAGGAGAGAGGTATGTTCAAGTCCTCTAATAAGAGATAGAAGAGGGGTAAAAAGCCTCACAGAATGTGTGGTGAATTTGATAATACTTGTTGAATAGTTGAGGTTTGTTACTAAAACTTACTCTGATATGGCAACAGCTTTCTTTTAAACAGCCTTTGGGTAGTTTTGAATAGCGAACAAACGGAAACCACTAGGCAAGGCCAAACGCTGATAGGCTGAGATAGCAAAGAGGCAAACGAGACCAGCCCACAAAGTGGTCTGATGAAATATGCGTGAAAGCATCGTGAGAGATCTACTGGTGTTGAATTGTCTCAAGGCGAAGAAGGACCGGGCAATCGTGAATATGAGAAAATGCGCTCGGTGTGGCCCGCATTGCCCTGTTTGTAGTAACTTGCCGAATCTTTTTGGTCCAACATTGATCAAGGGAGTGCATGACCCAATTGTGTGGGCTCTCTGGAATGCTTAGATGCACAGGTAAGTGGTTGACTACCGTCCCACGATAATGTACTGGGCATTATTAGTGCGAGAGCTGCAAAAGAATAGGTTAGTTGCTGGAAAAGCAGCATTTTGAAGCCGACCGGTTTTCGCCGGCTAAAGGAACCCATGAAGTTGAATCAGCTTTTACAGACGCAGAAGACATACGACTCGGAAAGTGGCCTGATCGTGACGTTTTCCTGGAATTATCATAAGCAGATATCGAGTGCTTCTAATATCTGACTAAGATTCAGATTGAATATGAAGCAAATACAAAGAAGGGTTTAGAACATAACTGTTTGAAATAGATCCTGTTCCACAAACGTCGAAGCGAGTAGAAAGGGGACCAATTTTGCGGGGAAAACAACCTGAAACCTAATATTCGCACGTGACCTTAAATTTCCGATTCACATCCATTGCTCTGGACCACAGTAATTAACTTGTACTAGAAGACTCTGCACTAGATCAATTCTTGCGGATCTATACTTCAAGGTACATAGGCATGTAAATATTGTACATGGAGTCATAAAGTCACATGTTTCATGCTCAAGGACCATGAGAGCTCTAATTGCAAAAGCTGGAAGCATCAACTCGAGACTCAAGAAACTAGGTAAATCAAGAGTAAATATTTATTACTCCAGAAAAATTGGAAGTAATTGCAGCAGGTAGAAAGTCTCAAGTCAGGTGTCCTACTATTAAAATACATCCATATCTTATTCCGCTACCCAGAAGAGAAGATTGAGAGGATTTATCGAGTACATAACCTAATTTCACGTCAACAAAACTCTATGTACAACCTGGAATGATACCCCTCGCAGGTTCCAATACTTTGTTTAGGTCAATACATTTCTGGCCTTAAGTTATATCACAATTCAAAAATTAACGAATGTTAGATGATATATTTTGATAAATGTTGTTAATGGTGAAAAGTGATTGGTTGAAAGTGAGCCGAGGCATGTATCTTTGGCTTCAAGCTATACCGCTTTGGATAATTTATTCAGTCCACCCAAGCGACCCCTGATTTCTTACGGAGGTACTCGTGAACCACGTCGCATCTCCCCAGCAGCTTCAAGTTGGAGAGTAACTGTCCACTACTCGTTCCCCACGCTCCTTTCGGTCCCCTCTGTATCGGGAATTTCTGCGAACATCCCTATTTCCCTGGGTGGCTGTCTGTCTCTCCTTTCTTCCGACCAACGACTCGATGACCTCGGGATGAGTATATTCTCCTACATAAAGAGCATTTATGCTCTCGATACAATTGATACCCGATTTACGACTTCTGCCACCACCTCATACAAGACTGTCATAGACTCGCGGGCCGACCCTGCGACGTCAGGTTCGAAAAGAGATGATTCAATTCCGGGAATTGGTGTCAAAACGGACCGTCGCGGAAGGCCGGTAGCGCAGCCGTCGAGGTGGAATACACTCGAATTCTACTTTTACTATTTTGTGTTTTTGACTGTTGTGCCATATATGTTCTGGATCGCATACGATGTGTCAAGACGTTAGTATTCATTAGCGCGAAAACCGTTGTCAGCTTGTCTCTGATATTTTGTCTAGCTTCGGATCCGAACTACAAAAAATACGAACCATGGCTGTCACCCGGGTGGATTCCGGGGCGGAAGATTGTAGGTCTCGATGGAATTTAGACTATCTTGTCCAGCATCTAACAAATAGCAGGATATATCCGACGCTCAGTATTTTAACTTTCGACGAAACCTTCCCTACCTCGCCGCACTGCTGGTTTTCCATCCTCTTGCCCGCAAATTATACAATGCCATACGTCCTATACCAACCCGAAATGGTTCCCCGAGATCGAGTAATTCTTCATACGTTTCTGCGGCAGAAGCAGATGGTCGACTTGACCAACGAGCGACATTTGATTTTGGATTTGCTTTAGTGTTTATGAGCGCGTTACACGGCTTCTCCGTTTTCAAGATTTTGTTGATTTTATACGCCAATTATACATTGCTCAGGAGTGTCCCTCGAAATTACGTACCAGCTGCCACGTGGATTTTCAACATTGGTATCCTCTTTGCGAATGAAATATCTGATGGCTACCAATTCGTAAAAATGGCATCCTACATTTGGCCGACACAATCGGGCGGTACTATGATGGACTGGTGCCACTGGCTAGATGATTATGGTGGGATTATGCCGAGATGGCACATTGGTTTCAATATGTCAATTTTGAGATTAATAAGTTTCAACATGGACTATCATTGGAGCTTCAACCAGAGAGGAGGAAGCCCATTAGAGGTTTGTTTTTCCCTTGAAAAGTTGCTTTACAATGGCTAATACCCAAAAGAAGAAACAATTGGACGCTTCAAATTTGTCCGAAAGAGACCGTGTAACCATCCCCGCTCATGCAAATGATTATAATTTACGCAACTACATTGCATATTCCATTTATGCACCATTATATATTGCCGGGCCAATCCTGACATTCAACGACTACATCTCCCAGCTACGATACCCCCCAAAGAGTATTGAAAACCAACGCACAATAAAATACGGCATTCGTTTCCTCCTCACCCTCCTGGCAATGGAACTAGTCCTCCATTTCGATTACTGCGTCGCAATCTCCAAAGGAAACCCAAACTGGTCCGATTACACCCCAGCCCAATTATCTCTACTTTCTTATTTCAACCTCCACGTCCTCTGGCTCAAGCTGCTCCTCCCATGGCGACTATTCCGCCTCTGGGCCCTGGTAGACCGCATCGACCCACCAGAAAACATGATCCGCTGCCTCTCCAACAACCCCTCCACCGTAGCCTTCTGGCGCGGCTGGCACAAATCCTACAACAAATGGCTGATCCGATACATCTACATCCCCCTCGGAGGCCGCTCATCCAACAACTGGGTCGGCAGACTCCAGACGGTAGTAAATTACACAGCAGTATTTACCTTTGTCGCACTCTGGCACGATATCTCGCTCAATCTCTTGGTATGGGGATGGCTCATTGTATTCTTCATGTTGCCTGAGATTGTCGCGGGATATGTGTTCCCGGAGAAGAAATGGGAGGGTAATCGGACGGCGTATAGAGTGTTGTGTGGGTTTGGGGCGGTGGCGAATCTGATGATGATGATGATTGCGAATTTGGTGGGGTTTGCGGTGGGGGTTGGTGGGTTGAAGAGTATTATACATGGGATTTTTAGGGATTATTCTGGTTGGTTTCCCACCCCTCCCCCCTTCTTCTTACATTTCCCTTGTCGTGTTTGATGGGAGTACTAACGGTGGTACAGGCATGGCATTTTTGGTCACGGCATGGGGTGTCTTATTTGTAGGTATACAGGTTATGTTTGAGGTACGACAGAGCGAGGCGAGGAAAGGTATCTTCCTCAAGTGCTGAGGGATCACGTAACAAATTCAAGAATTTCAATTTTTATTCAACATCTATCGCTGATGAAGGGACGGTGTTGAATGGTCCCAAAATCACGAAATCAAAAACGCCAACTAGCCCCCAAGATAACGCAAACCCAAAAAGAGCTGAAAGAAAGTTCACAGTCCTCCCTGCTGATGCTAGGGGTGTTGAAGGCCTCTAGGTCATGTGTTTGCGCGTTGAGGTCGCCAATCCTTTCCACCTGCCTAACCGATATAATATCCGAAAGAAAAAAAACTGATAAGAAACCCAGAACTCAAATTCAAGACGCAATTTATATGAAAAGCTCGAAAACAACAAATAAATTCAAAGCATATCATGTTTTTGTGGGCGCTATTGAAGGTCCCTTTGGCGATGATTTTGCTAATATTTCATGAGAGTTCAAAGATCCAATTCAAAAAGGAGATGATTGAAGGAAAGTGGTGGAGTGAAGCAGTCGAAACGATTGTGAAGATTCCAAGTGCAGCGATTTCCAGGTTTTTGGTCGCTTCGTTGTTTGCCGATTGGCGTCCCTTTTTGAGATGAGAGTATGACGAGAAACGAGTTCCGTTCGTGGCGGTTGGAAAATCGGGCTTGATGACTGTGCCTCTCTAGCTGCCTGAGTCATTGTATGTCACATCTTCCATGATACCTCTGATTTTCTCCTTGTCGTCCTCGCTGAGATGCGTCCTTGGTTTCTCGATGAATGGCTGCCAAGAATCCCATGTTTTTTGTTTCCCAGAAAGCCAAGGTGCCAACATCTCCGAGAGCATCACCATCATGGCTAAAATTTTATCATCTGAGTGGTTTTGGAGATGATCTAAGAAGGACTCTAAAAAACCATTGGCTTTGGCCCAATCACAACTTGGGCATGTCGATTTCCCGATCCATCCCCGAACCCCCCATTCGCTCGCTTTTATAATTGCCAAATAACCTCTCGACTGCTCCCGCAAATCATGGGGTTTTAAGTGATCAGTCATCTGTCCTCCATTCGGAGATCCTCGGTGAGCACACCCTAAGAACGCAAGAGGGCATGTATCAATGTCATCAATGAGGTAGTTGCCATATCCAATAGGCGTTTGACGCCAGCCGAAAGCTTTCAGCGCCTTGAGAATATCTTCCAAATAGGATTCTCTATGGGATTGTTCTGTTTGTTGCTGGTTAAGATGGTCTTTCAATTCATCCTTAGCAAAAGGCCCGGCTCTACAGTCCTTGAAAAAACAGTGGAATTGGTCCGCATCTCCATGCTCCTTGCGGTAATGCTCCCATAGTTTATCTGCTCTTGGAAGTGGATTGGCGGCACGCCTGCAATCATATACTGGACAAAGCCAAATAGAATGGCGCTGGTGGAAATTTTGTCGGTGTCTATCGAGCTCATACTTTCGTGGGAATGTTTGGGTGCATCCCGGATGATCGCAAGGAAGTCTGGGTTTGGGTCGTCTTTCTTTGGTGACCTTGCTTCGAGGATTTGTCATCCGAAGGGTTTCCAATGGCCCTTTTTCTCTGGAGTCGGAACCTAATAGTAGAGGCCCGTTTTTCTCTGCAAATCTCTCGAGATCACCAAACTGTGTCACATCGTGCTCCGCGGCTGCAGGTGGACTCGGTACCATTTGGGTTTTGCTGGAGATGTCGCCCTCCAATTAGCATGTTAAAAAAAAGACTCACGGATCCAAGTCGTCGCCCTCCAATGGCAGGTTCCAGTCGAAGTCAGGGTTGAGATCCTCGATAGGCAACCACGGCGGGTGATAGTTGCTCCCGTCCATCGTATTGGCTGGGGATATGCAGGCGTTTCCCAAATGAGGCTGACGAGTAGGTTGTGGTGGGGTGAGATCGGTCGATGAAGAAGGAGAAAAGGTATGAGGCTCGAGGATTTTGGGTGCGAAAAGGAGTGTGAAAGAGTTTGGGGGAGATCCCCTACTTTATCTTTTCCATCCCAGTGATGGGTGGGGAGGTGCGACTGACAGGGGTCGCAGGGCGATGGCTTCCTCTTGGGTGCAACTTGAGCCTCGCTCTTGGGTAAGGAGCGAGTAGGTACTCGAGTACCTGGATACCCTTCTTAGGTAAGACACCAATAAACTGGAGACCATCGAATGGAAATGGTCATCTTACCTACCCTTCCGTGGACATCAGATTTGAATGAAATCCCATAGAAGCCTCGCTTCAGCGGGTGACAGCTTTAACAATCTTAGGTAAGCCATCTGTGGACTTCCCTCACATCACCTGGTTTTGATGAGCGTGGGCTCCTTGCGTACAAAGATTTGAAGTTTACGTGATCTATGGAAAAAACAACCGTCAGATGGGCAATCAAGGTTCCTATGACCCTTCAAATTTCTCGATCGCTCTGGGTTGATACCAGGTTAGGTTCATGTGAGTCTTTGACTCTAGAAAGAGCACTCCAGCTTCAATTTTGTCATATCATTCTATCGAGACTTGGGGATATTTACTTTGTGCAATAACTACCTACTCCGGCCCAGGAGCCTAGGTATTTTCCAGGCGCCCGGGATTGTTCTCAGGAGAGGATCATGTGACTCGCCTGCGTGGACCTCCTGATCTTTCCACCGCATGGAAGCTGATTCTCTGTTGCTAGGTAGCGTATTTGATGGTATTTCGAATGAGGAATAGTGCTAGGGTATACGACCTTAGCCCCCGCTACATGTAATTAGACTGTTATGCTTTTGAATTCAACTCTTTCTACCCGGGCACCTTTGGCATTTTCTATACCCACTAACATATTCCATTCCAAGTCTACAAATAATCTCACCCCCCTCAAAACTTTCACTTCCGCACGAAAATCTCGACTTAGCAAATCCGTATCACACCTCCCAGATCACCAGAAGGTCCGTCCTCCTATGCCAAAATATAACTTCTGATAGCAGGAATTAAAACAAACGACAATGTCTTTGATAAGCTGATTCATCTAGAATGGTAAAAGAAGAATTGTCGCTGACATCACGATATAGGACCTCGCTTACTTCCGGCACAAATTCTGTGTGAAAATGGGAGATGTGAACACCTACCTAGTATTTTGATGAAGCACCAACTGGCGAGATATTTTCGGGAAAAATGGTACTAGTCACGACTCCTCTGATATCCTATCGTGAGTACACATAGAAACTTTACGAATTTCTTGGTTGGAAACAAATTGTAGGTGAAACTCCGCATACACGGAAACCGAGAAATGAAAAAGCTTTACTGTAAGATCTTACACGCGAATCTGCCCACAACGAATTAAATGGTGCTTAGATCACAAATTCTCAAATCATTCAAATGCCGATTTAACCCGGGTATTCTCTTAGTTCTGCTTTCCTTGCAGTAGCTTCAATCAAGAAATCTCACTCTGCGGTCTAAAGTACCTACGATGACTCGACGCCGATCTCCCGACGACGGCGGGAGTCAACACCTCAAAGATCACATGTATATAACAACACCACAACTCTCTTTACCAACACCAAAACCAAACACATATATACATCACCACAATACCAAGAATACTGGACCCAAATACACAATGGCCTCACCCACCATCCCAACGGACCTAAAATCCCGCCTCCAAGCCTCCTACAACGCCATAGCACCCAAATACAACGACTGGACCACCTCCCACGCATCCACAAAACTACACTACCTCTCCCTCCTCCTCTCGCACTTAGACCCCCCAAGCACAAACAAAGAAAAAACCCCCATTTCAGTTCTCGAACTAGGCTGTGGCCATGGCCTCCCAGTAACACAGAAATTACTCGAGACACCGCATATAAACGTCACAGCCAACGACCTCTCCACAACCCAGCTCTCCCTCGCGCGCTCCAACCTCTCAACTTCCCACCCTACCTCAATTGAAAACAACAGACTCAACCTCATAGCCGGCGACATGCTCTCCCTCACCTTCCCTCCGGCTTCCTTCAACGCCGTAGTGGGAATGTACTCACTCATCCACCTACCACGGGATGAACAAGTCGTCCTCCTTGGCAAGATCGCTACGTGGTTGAAACCCGGTGGTTTCCTGCTTGCGAACTTCGCGGCGGAGGAGAGCGAGGGGAGTGAGATTCAGAAGTGGCTTGGGGAGGAGCAGGGTTGGATGTTTTGGAGTGGGTGGGGGAGTGAGGGAACGGTGGAGAGGATTCAGAAGGCGGGCTTGGGGGTGCTGGTTAGGGAGGAGGTGGTTGATCATGATACGGTTGGGGTTAGCTTTTTGTGGGTTTTGGCGAGGAAGGAATGAGGGAGGGGTTTGAGGAAGAGAGGGGAAGGGTTGAGTTTTTGGTGGTGGGGTGGAGATGTGGGAATTCAACTTCTTTTTTAAAGGGATATGGGGATGCAGGTGGGGGGGTTTCTGGACTGTTTATGTTCTCATTGAGATTTCTTTTTGCTTCAATAGACTTGAGAGAGCCTAGATTTTACTTCGACTTCCAATAATAATGCTGTTAGCTAGAAAAGGCTTAGTTTAACAGCTCCACAGAACAGATTTGCTCTCTGTATCTCTGAACAAGGGAAAAACACCGTTACATTTTTCTCCGAAAGTAGAAGAAAAGGGGGTGAATCATGTGACACAATACCCAAATACAAGCTTTATGGTCCGCCTTGGCACAATCAAAGTCCCACTTGGCAACCAAATTTACCTAGGCTCAAATGGCAGACCCGTGAAAAGGTTTCACCGTGACAAACACACCTCGATCCGAAATGCATCACCAAACTAAAAGTAATTTCGCAGCCGTCGTGCAACCTGCAAAATGAACAACATGTGAGATTCCGCTTCCTGATCTTTCACTTCCGCAACACCCAGGCCCGTCTCACTACCCCACTTTGTGAGCCGTTGGTACAGCTCAGCCAATGGGAGGGAGCTGGATGACGCGGAAGTCTTCGTGCCACAGCATTCACGCAAGCCCGCGGAGCCATATTTAGCTTGCGAGGCGCAGAAGGTGAAGTGGAAAGATCAGGTTTCTAGACTGTGATTGCTGCTGCTGCTTCCCGCGCCGTGCCGTAACGTACAATTTATATACTCTTTCCTCCCCTCCTCTTCCTTTCTCCATCAACACCATCAAATCTCATCACCATGCTGTTCCACTCAATAGTCTACAACCCCGTACTGGCCCTGCTCGTCCTTACGCGACTTGCATCCGCCACACCCCAGCAAAAACAAGCAGCATTACAAGACCACCACCCACTACAAGAAACCCCCGGACCCCCAAACTCCATCTTCCAGCCCAAATCCTGGAAACCCATCTCCAAACCCGCCCACCTCCTCCTCTTCCCAGACAGCACCCAAAAACCCGCCGTCAACGCCCACCGACCCTCCTGCAACACCACGAGCACGCCCCCCAAAGCGCTCTCGCTGGAGCCCGAAACCTGTTTATCGGGGACCTACTACCTCTGGTACAACCTGCTCATCGACGAATATCCCACGTGCAAAGATGGCTCACAGGCGGTGATGATGTACTATCCACGGACGAGATGTATGGGCGATCCTTCGTTTAAGGCTGCGCGACCGCAGGAGGATCAGGATGAAGGGAAGAAGATGTGTTTATCGAGGTTTCCGAGTCGGTTCTGGAGTATGGTTTTTAGGTGTGGACGGGGGATTGATGAGGAGGGGGCGGAGCAGTATCTTGATGCTGTTCCGCCTGAGGATTGAGGGGTTGGTTTCACGGCTACGGTTTTGGTTTTTAGGAGGGGATTATTTGAGAGATGATTGGGAGTGGATGAGGAAGGATTTTGGGAAGTGAGACGATGCGCGTGTTTTCGCTATTTTGAGTACAAAATGTCTTCCGATGAACATCAGCAGAATTGAGCTGACGTGGGCCAAGCCCGCCCATTCACACCTCACAACCTACAATTTCCAACCCAACCCCAGCATATTCACCATTATGAATGAAGTTTCGAGTACACCTAAATCTCCGATACACACACTCTTTCGGCATGGCCAAAAAGATGCGAGGTCGATGTACCAAAGTAACTTTTCACGATCGACTTTTGGGTGTTGCCGATTCCATAGGGCTGAGCGAGTGGGTTGGGTTTGATTTGATGGTGGCGCGGGAAGCAGTTCAGATGAAACTTGACACTTTGTTCGAGAGTTGTACACACGAATGTTGAACCGTGTGTGATGTCTGTCAATTAAGGAAGGGACATGATTGTTATTAAGTAGATGGGGGATGAGATAGTCGTCGAGGCAGGCATTAGTCAGGATGAATGACTTGGTGGTACACCATGTAGAAGTATTTGTACGTGTATAATATATGAATCCAACGGAATCACAGGATACCTAGCCATTAACGGGGCTAGTAAAGCTAGATTACTAGACAATATAATCAAACTTTATAACTATTTTTAAAAATCCTTAAATTCTTTATTTATCTAAAATAAAATCATTAAGCAATATTATTACTTTAGCTTCTTAAGCTCGGATACTAAATATAATCTTATATATTCGTATACCTTGGGTTCTAAGAGAGTATAAGTACTATCTAATATATATTAGTATTATAAACTATCTATATATCTTAGATAGTACTACATAACTCCCCTCCTTAGCTAGAACGTAGATAATTATAATAAATATAATATAGATTTAAACTTATTTAGTATAATAAATATATTATTTAAATAATAAATAATAATAAAAAGATACGAGATAATCTTACCTAGTATAAGAGTCTCTACCTAGAGTCTGCCCCTAGGAATCCGAGGAACGAGGAATAAATTATTACATGTTAGGCTATTAAGGCGAAGGGATGATACTAGATAATATATAAATAAGTAAAAGAAATATTTTTATTTATTTCTATTCTTCCTACGAGGAGGGGGTTTTTTTTCATTAAAAGAAATAGATTCATTATACATATTCTACTTTACAACCAACTATCTAGTATCTCGGAATTCGTAGCTACTGAATATTAGCAAAGCGATACAAGATCTTAGAGTACAGAGCTATTAAATCAAATCTCTTCCAATACACCTGCCTATCCTCTAACCTCCATTTCCTCAAGTACGTTAATTCGCTGAGAAGTCGAGACATCCATCTGTACACCAACACCAACATCCTCACTCTCACGCTTAACTTGCACGTCCTCAACGACATTAACTGCAGGACCATCCGTTCGTACACCCACAACTTGACTCTCATCCTTCCCAGCCTCGGGAGACAAACCGTCTTCGACTTTCACCTCCCCAGTCCCACCATGACCACGAATCCCCCTCGCAGCCCTCCTCTCATTAACCCAATCCCCAATCTGTTTCCAATTCGCCACCTTCTCCGCATACGGCACCGTCGCCGCAAGTCCACTCGTACTCGTCGCCACGAAAACCGGTACCCCCTCCCACACCACACCCCTCCCATCAGCCTTCCTCCGATCCGCCGCACCAAGGAACTCCAACGCCTCATGCACATCAGCTTTCTCCAGCGTCTTCAGATCCCGTCCGTCGTTCTCTTCAAGGAAGGAGATCGCATCCCGCACCTCCGGCTTCACAACCCCCATCTTCTCCTCCTGCCATCCGTACGCGAACTCGCCCTTTTTGAGTCCCCGTCGACGCTTGACTCGGAAGATACTCTCCCACACGCTTTTCCCCACCACGCAGACGGCTTCGGGTCGCCACCGCGCGACCTTCGCTTCGAGGACGACGACGTTGGCGTCCATCTCGGCTTTACTTAGCTCGGCTCCGTTACGCGTCGGGCGCTCGACGATATTAGTATTACCGCATCCGTACTCACTGAGTAGTATTTGGTCTTCTGATGGCTTGAGTAGACGGGGCGTGATTCCGGAGCTGTGGACGAAGCGCCAGAAGAGGTTCGTGGGATGCGAGTACATGTGACCAGCGGTGGCGGTCATGAGGCCCGGGTTGAGTCCGATGAAGAGGAGGAGCATGGAGGGACCGATGATGTCCGGGATGGGGGAGAGGTGTGCGTAGGTTGAGGGGTCGGCGTATTTGGTTGGTAGGGAGCGATTGAGTTTTTTGCGTGGTGTTTGGGAGGAGGTGTTATTTTCTCTTGTATTTTCAGTGGTGGTTTTGCGTTTGCGTCCTCGCTTTTGGGGTTGAGATGGTGTTTGAGGCGTGAGATTTGGCGGAAGACCGTTCAATTTTGGCGATGCGACAACCCCGTCTTCACTTTTAACCTTCGACCTAGAACTGGGCGTGGATTTCTGCAGGCTCTTGCGTAGTGGCGAAGGAGAGGCTGATGATATCGACGACCGACTCCTCAATCCCAGTGACAACCTCCCATTCCTCTCTCCCTCCATCGACGACTCAAAAGGTTGCAAAGCCGCGAGCGCAACACGAGGACTCAAATTACTCTGCATGCTCTGTTTGGTAGGAGAATCCTCGATATCACTCTTCACCCCCGGCGACGAAAGTGCATACGACTCAATATCCAGTCTCCCCGCAAAAGTAGCAAGTCTCGGTTCTTCTGCTTCACCGGTAAACGGATCCTCCTCGATCTCGAATGAATCTCTTGGAATTGGAATTGGAATTGGAATGCGATCTTCCTCCGTCTCCGCCATTTTGAAGGGGATGGTCAGGTTGGTCGTGGGTAGTGGTGGTGTTGAGTTTGAATTCTTGAAGGCGAGGAGGGTGAAGGACCTTGAGATGAAGCGGGATCGGGATGGTGAGGTTAAGCGGACCAATCATCTGCCATCTGGCTATAGGTCAGTTTTCTCAACATGAATTCCTGTCAGCTAGTTATCCCGATGCTCTTGTCATCTGGTTGTGTCCTTAGATAACCTTGTGTGTTTCGACTTTTAATATCAAATATAGTGAATCTGAAGGCATCTGCCTGCACCTTTGCTGGCCCTCCGTCATACCAATACCTACTAACAAATGAACTAGTAACTTGTGGTTATACAAACTTCGTATCCTACCATTGAAGAGTTCGCCCTCAGTATGAAATAACTCGAAAGTCATAATACTTCAATCATTGAACCACAAGATATCTCATAACACGCTTACAAGCAACAATCCTTTCCATAGATATAGAAATACAGCAGTAAACACAATGCAACAGCAAGAAATTAAGACAACCAGCATTCAATATTAAATCTTCAGATGGAAATGAAGTGATTCAAATAAAAGGAGCAAACACTTGTCGAAGAATTTGTTAATAAAATATTCCAATTCTATGCGAATATTCCCTATCCGTATTATACAGTAGTTAAAGATTTCCACTTTCCCCACTCCCGATCAGTTTGCCATATGCCGGCAACACCAATCCCAATTGCAAGCCCATCCATCTATTTTAAAATATATTCCTCGTTATGTTCATTCTCCATTTTCGTGCCCAAAAACAATCCCAACCCTTCTTAAGTTCAAACCTCTGTAGTTACAGTCTTCTTCCTTCTGAAACTACCAAATCGTTTCTTCAATCCACTGCTGAACCCCCCGCCACTACTACTTCCCTCCCCATTATGTGAGTAATGATCGGGACGTAAGAATTGATCATAACTTCTTGAATCATTGGAATTTCCGACGCTCCGGTGGCGTGATAGACGTTGAGGTTGCATTTCATAGCTGTTGCCTTCGCCAACGGATTTCCCCCGATTGCGAGAGATGTGCTTGTCTTTCTTCAAGGATTTCTCGATGGAGTAGGATGGCTCGCCTTTACCTTTGAGATCTTCAGGAAGGTATTTCTACAATCTATTAGTCTAGAAAATGGATCAGGACATGGAAGTAACATACGATGTGATCCCATCTCTTGTAAGCACCACCTCCTGCATCGGACTCCCGCATCAAATCAGCACCCTCTTCATAATCCATCACTTTCCCATCGAATCCAGCCATTCCCGGTGGAATAGTAGCAACGCCAGATAGAGGAACATGTTTATCAAGTGCGTCTCGAATATGGTGTGCAGGTGTAGCCTTCAATGCCTCATTATTCGAGTCTCGAACCGCAGCAACTGGCGAGTTCTTGAATGTGCGATTGCGGGACATCAAGGTGGCATCGTAAGGACCCTCATGGTGGTAGGCACCAAAAATCGATTGATCCAAAGAATCAATGACATCTGCTCCGGGAATTGCTTTCTTTCTTAGATGTGGTGATCGGTGTGCAGCTTTTGTTTCCTTGCGGATCTGGTCTAGTGGTCGATGTGACATGTCGCCGGGAAATCGTTCGCCTAAAGAGCTTCCTCGTCTTCTGTGGGGTTGTGGAGCCAAGGATTGCCGCTGAGATGATGCGGATGAGGAATATGGATTGGTTGGGTGGAAAGAGCCTTTGGTTGGACTGGCAGATGCTGGAGGTGTGGGATATCCGGAAGAGGAAGGTGTTTTCCCACTTGGATAGGATCTGGTGGATGAGGATGAGGAGTTTGCTGTGTAGGGTGGTGGTGGTGGACTATGTTGTTGTTTTGGTGAGGGGAGAAGACGTTTGGAAGACTGCGGAATTTGAATCAGCTGGAGGCTCAAAGTTTTGCAAGGCATTGAGGGATTGAAGAACAAGTTAACATCATGCCCAAATCCTGTTGGGATCCTTGTGTTACTTGGTAATAGGTGAAGATCCAGTGTGACTTACCCATTCCCTGTCATTCGATGAAGAGCCCATGTTGTGAATGTTGTTTTCTAGGACAGCAACGATGCGAGCAATAACACGTTGAATTCAAAGCTTAGTGTGATGAAGAGCAAGATGCGGATTCGGGCGGTGATGGAGGTTGGGACAGGAAGATTATATGTATTGTACGAGTCTCCGTTCTCGTGTACGGTATTCACCAAGCAAGTGGGGTGATTGGCGTGAACGATGATTGATGAATGAGCTGTCGGATTTGGTAAGCGTGGTAGGGTGATCCATGCACGAGCCAAGAAGGGTTCAGCCAGCGTCATTGGCGGGGAAAGGTCTCCACTCCTGCGTGATGAGGAAGCTGTGCCACAGTTGAACACGAATGTGATGCTTGGATCTGGATCGGATCTTCTTAAATCTTGTCCTCCGTCCCTTCCGGATGCAGATGTTGCTGTATTTGTCCGTAAACAAAACCTTCACATCTCGGCCTCTTCTTCTTAGCATTCACTAAATTGGAAAGCAATCCATCCCAAGCCACAATTCCAATTAAGACAGTTTCTCTCTCCTTGAATTAGCAGAAGAAGCGAGAAGCCGCAATGAACACTCCCTGCCATGCGTCCCTCTATCTAACTTTTCAATGACAGCTTTAACCAAGGGGAACCATTCATTACCTCCGTATTTACATCCAATAACTGACTACACCCCCTTCGCCAACAACAGCGAGTTCGCGTACATAGCATATTATAGTATAGATTTAAACTTCCATCTCGAAATAGCTGCTCAGTACTTGTACCTACTATACAAATACTCGTAGACTTGAAGTTACCGGTAGCTGAGCTTTCGGTATCTCGCGAAGGCGAAGGCGACCGTGCCATGCCATGTCTGGGCCCTGCCGAGCGATGACAAGAGAGGCGAAGCTTCTAGACAACACAACATAATCTCTCTTCGACATTCACGGAATTTTTCTTTGCCAACAGGATTTTTTTGAAATGCTAGTGGCACCAGGGGGTGCAAGAATTCGTAGGACACCTTATTTCACACCAAAAATAATGCTAACAAGCTAAACTCTGACCTCGAGGCAAACAAAAATGAAACAGCGGTAAATATTACCTTATTATATTTTATGTTATAGCTTACAATTATTAAAATTAAGTCGCGTTGTGAAGTTTATCAAGCTTGTAAACATCTACTTTGGGTGCAAATATGAGGGCTGTCCCACGAATTCTTGCACCCCCTGGTGGTGGTGTAATATCTGTTGTACTACTTTTCGTTATTAGGGTACAGTACAAATTATAAGTTGGACTATATTCTCTCTTATATTTACCAAGACAGAATTCTACCTAGGAAGACTAGAAGGATTTCCGCTGTCGAAGGAGAGGGTTAAAAGTAAATAGATAGACTTGTAACTATATACTCGTAGCAAAATAGACCTTACCTTTGCAATCAAATCAAATCAAACTTATCTCATCTCACAAAAACCAACGTACACCCACCCAAACCATCAAAAACAACAATCTTCCATGTTCATATTCATATTCAAAAAATCTACCTAAGAACTAAAAAAGAAAACCAACCAACAAACCAACCATTCCAAAAAAGTCCAATGAGGCAGCAAGAAGCGGGGGGTATAAAGTGAAAACCAATCAATCATTCATGTTACTCATAATCCTTCCCTCAAGAGAAACAGACTTTAATTATGTTCGTCCAACAAAAGGACTACCCACTCCCCCAAGAATGAAGAGAAAAGTGACAATTCATGTATGTCGCCCACACATGAAACCCCTTGTCGCAACAAACGCCAGGAAAATGAATGAAGAAGCCACCCAAAGTCGTCTATGTTCGATGCTGAATTCCGTACCAAATGTACGAAGTCCTGTCGAAGGAAAGGAAAAAGGAAAGAAAGATTATTTAAATACAAGAAGCGTCGAATTGAAACATATATTTGCCGAATGTCGAGCGTCGAATTTTTTGGGTTGATGATTTTTGATTTTCTTCTTGACGTAAGAAGAATTGATTTATGCGAGGAAAACCGTACATCCCACAAGAGCAACCATGAAAAGGTAGGCAGTCGACTTGAAGATACCCCCAAGAGAGGGACTTGGAACCGTAGTCGAAGCACCTGATTCGGCGTCATCGGGGGCATTTGGATCAGCTGCCGTGGTACCGTTTGGCAGAGTTCCATTGAGGACAAACATCTCGGTCCCGTTGATGACAGAGATAGTAACAAGAGATTCATTGAGGTTCGTCCCATCTCCAATTATATCTGCAAGGAACGTCGAGTTTCCATTATCATCACAGCCACAAACCGCATAAGCGGCACAAACACAGTCAACAGGTTTGGTCTCATTGACTCCCTGTCCATCTTCCTGTCGCTCGTACAAGTTTCTTGGGTTGAGCGTGGGTGTTGCTGTTGGGGATGCTGAGGTAGATGTGGCTGTTCGGTTTCGTCGTCCTGTTCGGTTGTAATATGTGTATGGATGGATATATGGGTAGCTGTAAAGTCCATATGGCCAGGATCCGTGGTAGGAGGATAATGCTACTCCGGCTCCAACTCCTCCTATTACACCTATTGCGAGGGGACTGATTCCACCTGGTGATCTACCGCCTGAACTGTATGGGGTTGCTGCTCCTCCGCCGTAATATCTCCCACCTCCAAATCCTCGTGGAGCGCCGGAGCCTGATCTTGAGGCACCGCCGACATTTGAGCCTGGGCCTGGGGATCCGCTAGATGAACCACTAGAAATTGTCAGATGGTGGTCAAAATGATGCCTTACTGTAGCCCAATTGCTTCCTCAGCCTTTAGAGAAGTACTACTTCCCCCACCGCCACCCCACAGCGAGCGCACCCCAGGCACAGCTTCCCCTCGAATTCGGGGCCCCATTACCACCACAACTCCTCCCATTCAGCCCCTGCTACCCGACGATTCATACCCCTCAATATCACCCTCCCATGCAGACGAAGAAGAAGAGCAAGAACAAACGTACCCAGAAGACCCTCTCCCACTACTCGACCCACTACTCGACGACCCCCCACTCGAACTCCCACCACCACCCTTGCCACCCCCTCCACCACCTCCTTTGCGCTTATACAGCTGCGACGCCTCCGCATCGTCTAGATCGCGCTCCGCAAACCCGCTCTGCGCAAACTCGACCTCCTCACGCTCAACCAGCACTCCATCTTCAGCAGAAGGGAGCGCAAACGCCGACGTCTGACACGCAAGCCAGGCCGCAGCGACGAAACTAGAGATCCTCATGTTGTGTATGTTGTGTATGTTGTGTTGTGGTAGCGCAAGATGTATGTAGGAAGCCTTTTCGCTATCCCTTTCCGGGGACTGGGTTGGGATATCGAGAGATCGATATCAGATGATCGATGCTTTGCCTATGATGCTGTGCGACAATATCCTTTCGTTTTCGTCGTGGTCGTGCTCAGTCGAGCAAATAAATAAAATGTCCTCGAAGGAAAAGTGCTGTATGAGTAGGTTGGAGGTGCCTCTACTTTATCCGTTTAGGAATGTTTCGGGAGTTGGATGGGTATGGTGGTTATGTCAGGGCACAGGCCGCAGCGGGAGTGGCAGGCAGAGATTATATACCCCCGGACAAGGATACGCTTGTCGCTGGTTGAGGTGATGTTGTGGCTTGTGGCGCGGGGTGAGCTTGCCTTTCCCTTTTCGGTACCAGTATCGCTTGGTTTTTTTCTCTTTGACTTGCGGTAGGTACGGGTACGGTAATTGATTTGCCTTTCCTTCTATTAAGGTTATCCAAGCCACAACCTAACACTCTAACTCTCTAGCTCCCTCTCCGCCTCTTACCTAAACTAAATCACCTCTTGAACCAAAGCCCCTCTAGGTGCGGCGTAGTCAACTAAATCCCCTCCTCAACCACCTCGGCAGTTCCTCCCTCGCAAAAACCGCCCAAAAAAGCCCAGAGAAAATCAGCGTGTCGTTCAAAAAAAGAAATTGCAATTCGCCGATTTTCCGTTTGTCAACCAATCGCCTCTCGCCACCCACCACGCTCCCGTGCTGCGGGATTAGCTGGCGGGCTGCAGTAGTGCTGCGCCCTGTTTTCCACCGCCCAAACGTCATGGTAGCGAATATCATCATCATGTTGATCTCACTCCACATTATTCATAGGAATTCTACGAGACGAGTACCTGCTCGTGGAATACCGGCACTGGAGCCAAGAGAAAGGAATTTGAAATCGTAGATGAGGCATAGCCAGCGTACCTAAGATCTCCGGCTGATTTTAAAGAAAGCGATGGTGTTTGAAGTTGTGTTATACGAGTTACGAGTATATTCTACCTAGTAAGATAAGCCAACAATCCTACAATCCCATCCATCGTATACACAAAGAACTCCCGAAATGAAGTATCACCGTCAAGTAACAAGTACCTACCTCCCATCAATCGTCCCAAAAAAATCCTCGTACCGCAGTACTAAACTCCAACCCATCCATCCATCCACCCATGTACAATAAATCACCTCCTACCTAAACAAACAGAACCTACCACATCTACATCTACGGCAACACCCTACGTAAAATAAGCACCAACACCACCATGCGCCTTGCTATCCCAAGCACGGAACTTCACAAATTTCCAATTACTACTACGTACAGTACTAACCCCCGCTCCCCCTCCCTCCCTCACAAAAGTTTCACACAGATACATCTTATATCTTACCTGACGTCGTTTACCAAAAATCCGCCCCACCGCAGACACTAGGCATTTGAATAGTAAGACACTAGGCATTTCAATAATAAGTCACTAGGCAGAATAGCCATCAACGAGATCCGGTAGTTACAATCAATCAATCTAGTTATTAAGTCTACTTACGGTACTTGTGACATAGACGGGAAAAATAGGCGATTAGTGGTGGTGGTTCAAAATATCGACTTTGTAAGTAGCCATCACCGAGATACGGCAGTTACAATTAATTAATCTAGTTATCAAGTCCACTACGAGTACGGTACTTGTGACATAGACGGGAAAAATTAAGGGTGGTAGTGGTGGTGGTGGTTCAAAATATCGTCTTTTCTCTATCTGCACTACTCGATACTGATGATGAGGAAAGTGAACTCCAAGGATTTCCTTTCCCTTCCCTTTGATCATTGACCATTGAAACCCTCCCAAGAATTCGTCAAGTGGAGATGCCAGAAAAGGGGAAAATAACTGCTTTTTCTTTCGCTCGTTCGTTATGCATAATCTATTCGTAACCCATTTTTCATTTTCCAAAAAAGCAAGGGAGTTCATGGTGAGCGTTTATGGTTTCTCATACTCCAGAATAACAGGAGTAGTGATCTTCTTACCCTTGAAGGTCTCGAGTCCCTCTCCGCCCTATAGGATAATTAGTCTCGGTTCAGATCAAGTCTGTAGATTAAGAGGGGGAAACTCACATAACTAATCAACGGCGAAACCTCAACACCATCACCCTTTCCAGCACTAACAAGCGTAGCACCAGCAGCCTTCAACCATCTCTCTCCCTGATCCATGATATCCTTCTTACTCGTCTCTGCGTTATCCTCTTTACTACCAGCACCATTCTTCAATGGCGAGAACTCGTCTTCTCGCTTGACTTCCAAACATCCGAATTTGGCAAGCTCGAGCATGGGGAAGACATCAAAGACGAATTGCTCGAGTTTGATGCCGTTGGGTTTCTCGGGCTTGATGGTCTCGCCGGTCTCGGTGTTGACGTATGGGATCTTCTTGCGGGCAACGTGATGGGGGAGGTTATGTGCCCATACTGGGATGGATTCGAGGAAGCGGAAGGAGTAATAGTGGTTGACGATGTTTGCGGCTCGGAATTTTAGAACCCGTGGGGCGTTGGAGTCAGAAGGTTGGTTTGCATCCAGGGCTTCTGCAATCTCGTCGTCTATCTCGGAGTACTCGACAACATCTGGTTTGCCGTTCTTGATCAGAATAAGACCAACTGCCTCTGTCGCGTTTCGTTTTCGGACAACCTTGGTTGCGATATCAACGTCTTTGGAGGCGGAGAATCCGATGAATACAGGATCTGAGACCTTGACCAAGCAGTTGTCCACACAGTACGCATGGATATGTTCAATACCGCGCTTTCTCATATCACCAATTACCTCCGAGGTAATCAGTGCTTGGTAAATGCCTCCATTTCCATCGGGAGCAACAGCCACTCTCCCCTTACTCTCCATAAGAATCTTACCCTCATTCGAGATACAAGGTAAAACCCCCTGCTCAAAAATAACCACATTCTCCTTCTTCAAACCAAAGTAATTATTCTCCTGGAAGTATTTCTCCGTCGGTCCACGCGTAGGTCCCGAAGTCATAACATACCACGGAATAACAATCTTCTCCTCCCCACCACCCGCCTTCTTATGTGCCAAACTCTGCAACTTCTTGATTCTCTCCCCCTGCATCTGGAACAGCGATTTGCCAGAGAGCAACCCAATGTTAAAGCAACCCTTAGGATCCGAACTACCCAATCTCGTCCCCTGTCCACCCGCCATCAGCACCACACCCACCTTATTCTGCGCAATCAAATCCAAACCACTCTCATACCACCTCTCCAAATCATCCGCCTTCGAGTCCAGGATACTAGCCGTCGCCGATTCGGGGAGCGGCTCGAGGGTTTCCTTCGCAGCATCCTGTGCCTTGGGTGGATTCAACGCCTTATCCGTGATTTTATTAATGTACTCTGGATCGAAGCCCGAGAGCTGCTCAAAGAGTTTCGCTTTCTCTCCCTCATCGAGAGCATCGTAGAAGGCGAAGACTTGGTCCTGTTTCGCGGCTGCGTACTTGTCTTTCAGCTCTTGCAGCTCGCTGGCGGAGGGGGAACGAGGTGGAGCTGCGGTCTCCTTACTTCCCACGCCGGGGATTTTGTGGAGGAGATTTTTGGTTGCTTCCATGGTGTGCGAAGTGCAATTGAGATGCAAATGTCGTGCGTATTGAAGCAAAAGCAAAATGGTGGTTGTTGAGTGAAGAGAGGTAGTTGGAGATGGAGACGGAGGGGTAAGGCAAAGGGTCTTCTTTATTGACTTCGTATTCCTCAAAATAGCTCAGCTTCAGCCCCACCAAAATCGTGATCCCCCCTCTTCAGCCACGTTCACCCAACCACGCCGCCTTCACTCATTGGCTACGACTCACAAGGTTCTTTTTTCTCCTGAATATCCTGCCCTGGATGCAACGTCTCATTCAGGTACACCTTTTCATCTGGGAATTTGGCGAATCCCCACGCCGAACATATTACTTTTTGGTCATTCACCGCTTCGAGAGCTTTGGAGACGCATGCAATTGCAAGATGCCAGCGAAGTTATGAAACTTGCCGGAGTTAGGCCAGGGTCGTTGAAAAGAGGGGCAAGCTTTTGCAGTTGATCAATTAAGGTTCAAGGGTCACATACTTTGATGTTTATTAGGACTCTAATTAAGAAGGTCTTGTATACAAATTATCCCCCTTTTCTAAGCGAATTCTACGTAGATTTCTAATCAAGTAATGTACGATGTGTAAAAGGGAAATAATAAGTCGAGAAAGAACAAAAATACAAATCTTGTATCATGTAATCATTCTTCATTATGCATTATCCTATCATCTCCCTATGAGTATCTCAAAATCCAATCTTACTTACCCATACGCCCCCAACCTTGAATGAATACCAATCCAAGTCCTGTCTAGAAAATAGACGCCATCCTATCCAAACCCCAACCTTACCATAACAAGTTCACATCCATTCATCATCCCATCCAATTCCCTTTATCCAATAATTATCATTAGCTCCCAGGAACATAAACCCCATCCTTACAAAGCACAGTAACATTCTTAAAAAGCCGTCTCCACTCCAACGGATCCCCCTTAACCTTAACAAACCGCACCTCCAACAATTCCGTCTCCCCCGCGAAATAACTATCAATTACAATGTCTCCCGCAAGTCCACACTTTCTCCCATCCACCGTCTTGATCTTGATCCAACCCTGATGTTCCCGCCCACTCATTTGTGAGATAGGGGGAGTTGGAATATTAAGCTGATGTAAAGCAGTTCCAATGAGTTGAAGAATTAATGGGGCAGAGAGGTGAGAAAAGAAACGAGTGAGTGAATAGTTGGGCACGATATCGCGGAAACGACGAGCGTGTTGGGTGAGTGAGTAGGGGACTGTGGGCGTAGCTGCGAATTGGGACATGGACGGATCTTCAGCCAGGTGATCGAGGGATACGGAAGGTGGCATGGGCCTACTTCGAGAATCTCGGAAATCGGTAGGTTGGCTGGCGGCGTTGGCTCGAGGAGGTCGTTCCCAGTCGAAACTTACGTCGCTGATTGGGGCTTCGGGTTGCGTGAAAGAAAATCTCGAATTTTCCGAGTCGATTTCCATGGCATCTTGGGTTTGATGTGATATTTGAGAGGCGTTTGGTTGTTGACTAAAGTCGATATGGAGACCTTCTAACATCTTCGTAGCAAGTATAATCTGGTCCGTCATCTTTCCTTCGGGGGATAAGAGGGGGTTTTTGCGTGTGAACCATGGATGAGCCTTGATTTGTTGAAAGTTGAATCTTTGACTGCAATCCACATTCATCATTCCTCGTAGTAATGACAAGACGGATTTGGGTAGTCTTTTCCATAACTCATCCTCACTGTGACCTCGCTTTCCAGTAAACTCTTGAAATTCCCAACTCCCATCCGTAGGTTCATCCCAAGGCGTGTTTCCGACCAGAAGGACAAATAATACCACACCACAAGACCAGATATCACACATGTTCGCTAAGTACCCTGATGTCTTCATCCCTCCTTTCGATTGAGTACTCTTAGAACAGGTAATGACTTCTGGTGCGATATATGGAGGACTTCCGCACATAGTGGTGCTAAGCTTGGTCTTGCCTTGATACTCGAAAAGTGTAGCCAGTCCGAAATCGGCAATCTTCAAACTTCCAGATTCGGACAGCAATATATTTTCCGGCTTGATATCTCGATGAGCAACACCCTTTGCATGCATATAACAGACTCCACTGATCAATTGAGAAAAGTAGAAGTGTGCAATATCCTCACTAACTCCGACGTCCGCCTCAATCTTATCGAACAAGTCGCCACCCTCAGCATACTCCATGGCAATCCATTTCCAGACATTGTCTTCACCCGTAGCAAACCATTCTATGATATTAGGATGTTGTCCGATATGCGAATGAAGAGAAACCTCCATCGCGATTTGCTTTGCAGAAATTCGGCCATGTTTCGTAGCGTAGGCTTTGTGAATGAATTTGACCGCGAAGATGGGTGTTGATTCCACGGGTGGAGTGGCCTTTTTAATTCTGGGAGATGTTAGAAGGCAAATTATGGAAATTATGAAAGGTAGAGCGTACGATGCATAAGCCCCTCTGCCAATGGTCTTTGAAATTATGCGAAATGGGAGGTCGCGGGGTAAAGGATCAAGTTGACTCTGCATCATTGTTAGAAATTGATAATATGATTTGAGGGTATTCCTGAAGGACTTAGTTGTTAGAAACGTACCATCGTGACTGTGTTCTTTGACCCTTGAGTAGGAGGCAAATATTTAGCGTTGAATGGGTGTATTGAATTCCAATCAACTCATCAATTAACGCGTCGAGTTTCAGGGGACCAATTCGACGCATCGGCGATTGGTGGGCAGGCTCCGGCGGGTGGCGTTTGCAGTGTCTGTGTCTGTGTTCAGTGTCAGCCTTGTCACGGGCCTCGTCTTCGCTCGCCTCCTGGTTGCTGCATTGTCCCACGCGTTGTCAAAGGAACCGTTCTCGGCCTTCAAAGGAAACACCCCCAAACCAAACTCCACCCACACCGAAAACCTCCTCCTACAAATCTCCACCGCAGGAGCTTGCTTTGTCCGCCACAATCGCTTGCAATTGCAATTGCTTCTGCTTCAGCTTCAGCTTCATCCACAATCCCATTCACACTCTTTATTGTTGAATCTCAATCCTGATCACCAAACTTCTCCCACTTCCAAACGAAGCCCTTTGCTTCTTTCGCCTTCTCACAGTACAATCAAAAACTCAACAATCTCCAACACCGCCACTTCCATTCCCACTCCACCCACATATCCAACACCATGAATTACGATAGAGAAGACACCCAAAACTCGGCTCCGGGCAGCTTGCCCGCCGCTCAAGCAACCAAATTAGCAGCACCAAAAAAGGGCTCTGATGCCCAAAGTACAACCAAACGGTATAGTAGCTCCTCCAGATTTGAGTACGGTAGTATTCTAACACCAAATAGCCTTCAAACCGAATTAATGCAGCTCATGACCTCCCCTGCCCCAGGAATTTCCGCCTTCCCTTCCGCAGACGGTAACCTCCTCTCTTGGACCGCAACCATTGAGGGCCCAGACGATACTCCCTACGCAAACCTCACCTTCAAACTCTCCTTTGCCTTCCCATCAAATTACCCCTACGCACCTCCCACCGTCCTCTTCAAGACTCCTATCTACCACCCTAACGTCGACTTCTCGGGTCGTATCTGCTTGGATATCTTGAAAGATAAATGGACTGCGGCGTACAACATTCAAACCGTTTTGCTGAGTTTGCAAAGCTTGCTTGGCGAGCCTAATAAGTATGATCTCCACCCCTCTCATATTATAATTATATTCTAATAGATACAGTGCATCGCCCTTGAATGGTGAGGCAGCAGAGTTATGGGACAAGGATCCAGAGGAATTCAAGCGAAAGGTTCTTGCGAGACACCAGGATATCGACGATGAATAAACTTCACGATTCGATTTCTGGCATATGATAAACGATTGGTTTGAGGGGCGTATTACGGAAAGTGTGCATAGCAAGCGAAATGGAGGGAGGGTTATACACCTTTCCATTATACCATCAGCAGCAGGAGTCTTTGTTTCGCGCATCAGCAATATTGGAAGCGGGAAAGGCGTCACATGGGCCAATGAACGGCTGTATTCTTAAATGATTGCATACGAGATTCATCGGCTGGTTATGAAACCGAGATACGATACAGTACTTGGATTCATTGAATTTCTGGTGTGTGTGTGTGTGTGTGTTTTCAGGGATAAATGACAATATTAATTTGGCTCCTTGAGATTTTTGATCCAGTAGTTGTCTTTATTTTCGGGTTTCGTGATTTTTTTCTCGTAGTGTACTTTGAATGTGTTTTGATATTATAAACTTTCGGTTATAGATTATTAACGAAAGGGCATATTCACCAAGTGGAGTCTAGGTATCTACCTATTTACCTTGCAAGGTATAAATCTCCGGAGGATTTTTAAGCGTAAGAAATACCCTGCTCGCTTGCGCTAATGTATTGTATTATAAGAATATTGTAGTAAGAAGAGGGTTTTCGATTGAGAGAAGGAAAGAAGGAAAGAAAGTTGGAAATATCTAGTATAAGTTATTATATAAGGTATAAGGGTACTATTTTTGTTTACAATACTACTAGTACTTGTAGTATAGTAAATTCGAGTCGTTAAATTAAGTAGTAGTATCTACTTAACTATGTAATCCTAGGGCTTCTTAGAATCTTTACCTTTACTATACTCTTCCTTCGACCAGACCTGGGCACGATAGTGTCACGAATCACGTGTTACCACGGGAGATAGTGAAGACCAGGCGGCGCCCTGACAGGTCGAGCATTATCATAACTCTTATAGCAGAAGGGAATCCTTAGGCTAGCTAAGCGATCCATGGATTTCGTCGGATTAAAGTACCACGTGACCATGATCGCTTCAGTCGCCTG